AGGAATGCCACCGGGACAATGGCATCTGGAGTGGGTTTGACATCTCGGGGCACTGCTTCCTGCTCTCCTACTGCACTCTGATGATTGTGGAGGAGGTAGCTGTGCTGGAAGGCTTGTCCATAGACCAGAACTCTAAGCTGCATGTTGTGATCAACAGCCTGTTTGTCTCCTTGTGTTTTCTCTCCATGATCTGGGTGTTCATGTTTCTCTGCACTGCCATCTATTTCCATGACTTCAGTCAAAAGCTTCTTGGGGTATTGATAGGGCTGTCAGCCTGGTATGGGACGTACAGGTTTTGGTACTTAAAACCCTTTTCTCCTGGACTACCTCTTCCAAGTATTCCTTTGAGTTCAAAGAAATACAGTTATAGCAGATAAAATGTTTTAAAATGTTTGGATGTTGCTTTCGGTCCTAAAAGTTTGCAGTAGTTGAATGTAGAAATGGTTATGGTATCTCCACTGTAAGGAACAAGGTGATGGCAGGAGGAAACCAGATCTGTACTAGCTGATGGCTGGCAGGTAGTAATGAATTCTTCCTTGGGAGAGATAAAAAGGATATTGGAAAAGGACTCCTCTTGTTGGGGAGCTGCTGACTGGCATTCTCAGCAAAGAAATCAGAAGTTGAATCTGTTTCTCACGCTAATAAATGGAGGAGCAGATCCAGGGCTGATAGAGGCCTTTGCTCTGTAAGAGCTTGACTGATCTCAAATTAATTCTCTCTCTTTTAGATTGATTTATGCCAAAATACCGTGGATGATTCAAACTTCATACTTCTGTTGTGTTTTTTTAATATTCCTGATTGTATTGCCTTATGGGAAAGTTCTAACAGTGACAGTGTTGGCTGGTGTTGCAAAAACATCAGTGCTCCTCAAAGCAGTGGGTGGCCCTGTTGTGAAACTAGAACATCTCACCTTATCAGGTGTTAACTACACTAACTTGCCATGAATGTTCCTTGGCTGTCTGCACCTTCTGCAACAGAGAGAGAAAATGGGAGATGTCATGTTTTAAGCAGACTGTGACTTCACATTCACACCTGCCTTTGAAAAGGAATCTCTGCAAAAAAAAAGCCTTAACTTTCTCCTTATGTGAAGGATCTGTAATAATGATATTTTGTCATTTTATTCTTGGCACAAAAGAAAAACCCAAACTCCTTCCAGTTTTGCTAAAAAGTCTAGTATGAGAATTGGGGTTTTAATTTTATTTTTAAAGTCTTTTATGAGTCGCACACCTTGCAACAGTGAGTACTTGATGTGTTTCTTCTGGAAGAACAAGGAAATTCTGTTGTGAGGAGCAAGTTAACTTAACCTGCTGTTTCCCAACCAGCCTGCTAGGTGGTGAATGAAACACATTGGTTATCCCAAGAGCTGCAAAGCAGTGTGCTTGGAGCAAGATTTATTCTTGCTTACCTAGCAATATCCATAAGCTGCCTCATTGGGTTGCACATAAAGCTGTGACCACCTCTGATGTGGCTGCAAACCCACTACTGAATAAAACACTACTATTAGATAATGACTAGGTATGAGGTGGGATGGGTTTCCTCACCATATCAGTGAGACATTTAGCATCCTTTTTATCCTGAGGAGCTTTTTATTTCTTTCATAAAGGCTCCAAAGTGAGTATTTTGCTGGATATGGGGCATGATGCAGCACAGCCTCATCTCCAGACCTTTCTTTTTGTCATCTCAGCAGCTCCCTTCCAGCAAGGGAGCAGCAGCATTTGCAGTAAATACAGCAGTGTTAATTCCACACTTGTGATCTGCCTCTTGAGAGAGCTGAACTCTTGAATTTCCACTGAATTCAGTGGCATGTGGGAGTTGTGGTGTGTCCTGGGAAAGTACAAATCACCTCTCAGAAAGAAGCTCTTTAAAGGAGGTTGTGTATATTTTCTGTCAAGCTCCTCCTGTTGTTTTTAAATTGAATTACCTTTTAAGCTGAGACTTTGGGAAATTTGCACTGATTAACTCATATTTGGTTTAACTAAATTTGTTTAAATGATGCAAATGCATTTGCACACATTCTTTTGATGTGAGGTAAGCCTGTTCCCAATAGAGTTAAGCTAGACCACAAGCCACTTTCACCATGAAAAAGGATTATCTACCCAGAAGGTGTTCTGATTAATTTAATTAGATTTAAGTTTCTATTTTAGGTTGTATTTATGTAACTTGGATACATTAAAAAAGCCTTGGAACAGGAAATGCTATTTATTTAAACCAACTGACTTGCTGAAATGATCTTCAATTTCAGAAATGTTTTGTGCAATCACTACCTGGGTATTCCTCTGCACTTCTAACCAATGTCATACAAACTTTTTATGATGGAAGTCATGTGGGATGTGTTTATTCTCAAAACTTTTATTTAAACAATGAAAGAAAACGAAACCTTTGTCAGTGTTTGTGTCCTTTAGAATCTGTTTCTGATGTCTGTAAAGATACTGTTCTTCCTTTCCCTGGGTGATCCACCCTCATGGTGTTCTTGTGATTAGCAGGATCAAACTGACATGGAGAATTCTGCAGCATTTCAGTGGGCAATACAGGACAGATTCTCAAAAGTATAGGGTTTAAAAAGAGACAAAACAAAAAGCCATGCCTGATGCAAGCAAGTTTCCTAGTCTGTGCTTGTTGCTCCAGGCAGCTGATGCTGTAGACATGGACAGTTCCTTATTGCAGCAAAGTGAAAGGCTGATCCTTTGAAATCTATGGAAAAGTTCCCATGTGCTGCAATACCACTGATTAGTTTGGAAATCTTAGCATTAGTCTTTCTCAGTGCCCAGAGACCATGTGGCAACTGTTTGCATGGAGGGGTCCCTTGTGCTCCAGACCTTTTCTTTGCTCCTTTCGACTCTAGGTCTTTGTTTCCTTGCACTTCAGCTGGAAAAGCTGCACATTTTCTTTGCCATCCCCTTTGCCTGACTGCCCTACCTCCCCCAGATACACTTTTATCATTAAAATAAAGATGTGGCCTCTCTGTGACAGGTTTGCAGCCAAAGAGCAGCTGTGATGTGAGTAGCTGAATTTGATCTCCTGTGCCAAAGGCACAAATTTGCTTCAAATTTTTTTTTTTTTTTAAATGTAATATTTTAAAGATAACTACATTTTGTGCTGATTTCCAAAAATCACAACAGACACTTTAGCCTTCCCTCCCCCCTACACTTTTATTTTTTTGGCTTTTCTGCATTAAAGTATTCCTCTTAAGAGTTGTCTTCCATGTCTGAAAAATGATCTAGGGAAATTTTGTGTCCAATATCTTACTGACGTGTTACTTATTTCAACATATGTTTGCTAATTTGTCATTGCCTGTGTTGGTCCAGCCTGTTTTGTGGGGTTTGTATCAGAAGCAGGACTCAGGCTGGCTGATGAGGATGAGGCAATTCTTGGTTTTGGAGCCTTAAAACATTTTTCTCCACTGCTGGCAGCAGGGAAAGGAGTCTCAGCTACAGCTCAGGGTGAAGATTTAACTGGATTAGGATTAATTTCACTCGATTCACCTGGGACTGTGTCAAATGGTGACATCACTGGAGGCAAAATCAGGCAAACAGGAAAGTTTAGGTCTTTCGTAAGAGCCACTTGCACAGTTCAGACCTTGAACAGATCTGAAACTGGGGTTTGTTTCTTCCTTAAACTCTCTGTTCAGAGCAACCTTGCTCTGTGAGTGCTTCACTGGTGCTAAAAGGTATTCTTGGCTTGCCAGCTAGTGTGTGCTGGAAGTGAGGTGGTGGAATGGCTGGAAAAAAAGTCTTGTTCTTATGATGAAGTGAGAAACACCCAGTTATGCCCGATGGTGTGCACTGTCATGGGAAAACTAGAGGCTGCTGTTACACATTAAATGTTTTGGAAAATCAGGCTTTAGTTATGAACACAAGTCCACCCTCACTTTTAGAGTGGAACAATACCTGCCTTTCCTGCTGTAGCTGGAGGCAGATCCCTGCAGCTTCTTTGCAAATGGCCTTTCCAGCTCTGTCCCTTTCAGCAGCCTGCGTGTATCTCTTCACTCAGAAACCTGTTTCCTGGGATTATTTCTTTTCATAGCTTCATCTTGCCTCCTGGAGCACAGATTAGTAACAAATGCTCTTTACCTCTGCTAGATAAATGCATTCTCTGCATTTTGTTTTGCCCTCTTTTTCAGTATTTTTGCCAAAGCTGAAGATGGAAGTGATTAGCACTAACCAAAAGGCTTGTTGTGACTCTGAACTGATGATCAGCTGTTGTGAAAAGGACTTGGTCTGTCACTGTAATGGTGAAAAAAGCACAAAAATGGTGGATTTATTGAAGCAGATCTGCACCCCTGTGCCTGAAGGCATGGGAGGGAAGAGGAGGGGATGTGCTAGTGACACTTGGTTCAGATGGCTTTGTCCTTTTGGGGAGCAAGCACTGCATTCCTGTATAGAGTAGCTTCACCCAGGTGGTTAGTAGGAAATTCTAAATTCCTTTGAATGTGAGAGGGATACCCTGGTACTTACACAGAGTATAGGAAGAGAACATAGAGGGTACAGGTTGGAAAAGCAGAAATTGCTCCCAGGATCAAGTGCAGGCCCTGAAATTTCAGGCCATTATGTAGTAACACTCAGTCTGAAATATTATTTTTAAACTATCCTCTGGCCATCACAGAGCACGAGCAATGCCATGTGCCTTGTAGCAGGCTGAACAACTTTTCTGTAAGGTTTTGGAACTGTAATATTGCTGCCCCAAAGAGCAGGATCTGTCACCTGCAGTACAAGAAGCTGATCCACACACAGAGTCGAGAGACTTGCTTGAATATCACAGGAAAAGGAGCCAGGTGCTGTTCCACAGAGCTATGTCAGCTTCCTGAAACACAAGGGCTACTTTTATACATGGAAACATGTACAATCATAGAATCATAGAATCTTAGGGGCTGGAAGGGACCTCGAGAGATCATCTAGTCCAACCCCCCTGCCAGAGCAGGGTCACCTAGAGTACATCACACAGGAACCCATCCAGGTGGGTTTTGAATGTCTCCAGTGAGGGAGACTCCACAACCTCCCTGGGCAGTCTGTTCCAGGGCTCTGTCACTCTCACAGTAAAAAAATTTTTTCGGATATTCACCTTGAACTTCCTATGCTCCAATTTACACCCATTACCCCTTGTCCTATCACTGGTCATCACCGAGAAAAGCCTAACTCCGTCCCCCTGACACTCACCTCTTACATATTTGTAAACATTGATGAGGTCACCCCTCAGTCTCCTTTTCTCCAAGCTAAAGAGACCCAGCTCCCTCAGCCTTTCCTCATCAGGGAGATGTTCCACTCCCTTAATCATCTTCGTAGCTCTGCGCTGGACTCTTTCAAGCAGTTCCCTGTCCTTCTTGAACTGAGGGGCCCAGAACTGGACACAATACTCCAGATGTGGCCTCACCAATGCAGAA